TATTGCCATCATCTCTACTGTGTATACTGATAAATGATCTGATGTTCTCCTATTAACAGAAATGTTTAAGGATGGAATACTAAATGCAAAACCTGTTCTCCCTGTATTAGGATCTTTAGATCCATCAGTATATTCTGGAGCAAATACTTGATATACAGTTTGTAGTCTATCTTCAACAACAGCTACAATGTTTTCAGGTTCTTTCATTAACTCCAGCATATAAAATCTATGAGTACTGCAGGAAACATCCAAGGTGGCGTTATTGATAACAGTACTGCAGGAATGTATCTTTTCTGACTTAACATCATTCCTCTAGCTTCTTTGTCACTATTCCATGCAAAACCCCTCTGTTTAGACCTTTCTTTTCCCAGCACGGAAGGAGTGCCTTTACTGTTGGATGGCGGTCTTCTGAAGGACCGTGAAGATTTACCCAGTAGTTCATCGTTAACTGCTTTCGTCTGATTTGTAACGGCATTTCACCCACTTCAACCTGAAGAGCAGATACAGGAGTCGTTTTAAAAGCACCACAATAGTCTCAAAGCTTGAGCTTGTATCACATCCAGCTTCTTCAATCAAGTTTCTGCTGCCGAGTCATAAACAATACTTCTGTAATCTAACCCTGATCTAATCAGAGCTATATAAATACTTTTCATTGCAGCTCTCGCGCCCCACTCTGATCCTCTTAGACATCTCATCACATCTAAAATCTTTTTACATTTAGTGTCAATCTTTTGAATATGTTCGTTCCAGGTTAATTTTGTGTCAAACCACACGCCCAGAAACTTAAAAACGTTGACTTCTCCAATAGTTTGGATTCGTTCAGTCGCGCATGCGCAACATCCTATAGACCGATTCGGAGTAGACGTCACAGTTACGTCACTCGCAGCTGCGCGCGCACAGTGGTTGCAGAACAACACTGGGAACAAGTGGAGGTAAACGGGTACAATCCATGGAATAAAAGAAAAATATATATTGTTGTGCCTTTGGATGTCAAGATCGGAATGCAAATCATTTTTATATAATACCGTCGTCATTTGAAGCTAAACGCAGACGTTTAAACGGACAGACTGTGGATGAAACTGCTATGATTACTCTACTTTTAGAGCATACATTCCATTTAAACAATAGGTCTACATAATATTCACATATGCTGTTCATAGGGGACGTATTGTATTAGCCCTACATTTTTACATAACGTTTATTTACTTTATCTCACAATTCTGACTTTTTGTTCTCGCAAATGCAAGTTTATATCTCCTAATTCGGACTTTATAACTCGACTTAACTCAAAAATAGTGAGTTTGTCAACTCTGAGGGAAAAAAGCCAGAAGAGCCGAGGGGGAAAGAGAGAATGACCAGTTGTTTTTCCTTATCAGAATTGTGAGATATAATCTCGAATTGCGAGAATAAAGTCATAATTTTGAAATATGAAAATCAAATTTACCTTTTTTTATTCTTTTATTCCATGGCTCCATAGACTGCCGCTTGAAAACCCTCACTCCAGATAGGCTCCGCCCACAAACACCTTCACCCCTGTTTCGGATCTTTAAGACTTTCCCGGATCTAACCTCTTCTGCAACCATGATGCGCGCACATCCTGAATGTTTACAAACCGGTAATTGGTCTATAGGTTCTGTACTGGAATTAGTCAAGTAATTCACCTGGTTCGAGTCTTCGGGTTTGAGTTGTTCGTTCATCACGTGACAGCCCCTTAAGCCCAAACTAGGGTTGTGACGGTGATTCTCCCACCGGCTAATCGATGTGTATCACCGCGGGGCGTTCCCTCTTTTCCTCGCTTTCCTTCGCTTTTAAACGTCAAACTCACTTTAGCCTATAAAGAAAACATAGAACTTTTATTAACAAAACAAATACAAATACAGCATGCTATAGGGCAGGCTATGCCTAATATAAAATAACAAATAACTTGCATAAAGTTTAAATAGGTATACAAAACTGGAAATAGGCTAAGTAAACATGTATATAACCAAATAAATAAGAAACATAGAACGTTTATTAGCAAAACGAGTCTCTCTCACCTCCCTCTTCTTGTCTCTCACCTCACTCTTCTTGTCTGTCTCGCCTCACTCTTCTCGTCTCTCTCACCTCACTCTTCTTGTCTCTCACCTCACTCTTCTCGTCTGTCTCACCTCACTCTTCTTGTCTGTCTCACCTCACTCTTCTTGTC